TGAACATTGGGGTACATCTATCTGGAGAGATAAATGTTTTCAGATTTTTTGGGTAGATACCCAGGAGAGAGATTGCTGGGTCATATGATAATTCTATTCTTAATTTTTTGAGGAATCTCCACACTGCCTGAAGCAAGGTATCTCGGGCTTAGCTTGTTTTTCCCTAGCATTGCCTCAGAATAGTCTTTATCCAAGGAACTCATTATCTTTTAGTAGATAATGATATTTGGAAGCTAAGATCTGTAGAAATACATCATTAAAATATATAATTCGTAATTTTCTAATATTGCAGTTTGTGTGTGTTTTAGAGAATTAAATGGTGAATATGAATTACTAATTCACTTTCTTTTCTCTTTCTTCTTTTAGTCCCTCCAGTAATCCGGGTGTATCCAGAAAGTCAGGCTAGAGAACCTGGGGTCACTGCGAGTCTGAGGTGCCATGCAGAGGGCATACCAAACCCTCAGCTGGGCTGGCTGAAGAATGGAATCGATATTACACCAAAGCTGTCCAAACAACTCACACTTCAAGGTACTTTATACTTGCATTTTTTTCTTAAATGATCATGTAGAAAATTTATACTAAAATTTATGTCACATTTTATGTCACTTGGAAAAAAAAAGAAAATGAGACTGGTGGCAACAGAATATCATGAGTATGAAAAAAATATGATTGTACCTAAGACATTATATTTGAAATAGAGTCCTTTAATATTTTTATGGTTTACATAATAGTCTTGTCAGGATGATTAATTATATCATTATTTTGGTGATAAGTAAAATATTACATTATGTATCTTTTAAATACTTGTCCACTGAATTATCACAGATATGCTGAACAAAATAATTGGATCTCTTCATAGAATATATTTCTGAAGTAACTATTTAAATGTTTAAATCATACATTAAAATATGTCTTATAGAGGGTGTCAATAGTATAGAAATTCTGTAGTGAATATTTTGTCACACACTTGGCATATGACAAAAGGAAAAATTCAAAATGTTACCAAATGTTTCACACTTACTGTGTTTTAAAGTTATGAAATTATTGCATTCTATGTAATAGTAATATAAAATATTCTACATGTTGTAATATTCTAATGTATATATATGATTAATCAATTATATAGATTATAATAAATACAAATATATGGTAAGTGAAAAAGAAAACAGACAATCTATGTAATATTAAATGATCTAAATAATGAAAAACCAGTAGTTTATATATTTATTATACTAGTTACATAAAGAAACGCACAAATCTTACATCCACATGACAAGCCATATTAGTAGAGTATCTGGTGCATGGCATTTTATTCCTTATTCCATGCCTTTAAATTCCTTCAATTCATACTTTTTGAAATGAATATATTTTCATTATTAAATTAGTTTTGTAAGCATAGACTTCTCATTATTCCACTTTAATTATAAATGTTTTTATCAGTTTACATTCTTTAATAAATCTTTTTGGAACATGTATTTATTTATTTTTGCAAGT